AAAAGTTGCCCCAAAGTTGCCGAGCATCTTAGTGACAGCCCTGGTTTTGGTACCTCTTTTGGATGTTCAGCCTCAAAAGGTCCACAGCGCGAGCTTTCGCGGTACCTCTTAAGGGAATGAGCTGAAAATGTCAGTGTCAGCTAATGTGTTCTTTAGGAGGAAAAAATTTCAAGCCACGCCCACAAAAGAGGATCTTGGCACCTCTTAGGTGTTTTTCTTAAAATTTCCGACGGGCAACCCCATCCTTTTTATATGGGTGTCCCCCCCCCCTCCGGGAGAGCGCTATCCTTTCTGTATTCTTGTACTTTGAGCCTGTAGTTACAGTTAAGCACAGTAGGCAAAGAGATCAATTATATCGAGGTTTGTTTGATTTCTGACCAGGTTAAGCATTATCACGTGCACTCCGGAAAAATCAAGATCACCGTAAACAGAGCAATTGTATGGTTCAATTTGTTTACACCCAAACAAACGTCATAAACCCAGTAAGTGAGACTGACTACCACTGGCAAAAAATTTATTTTATATTTTAGAGATAGCATCCATAAAGTATCCACGTTATAAATCGAGGAGAAATATAATGGATATTTTGCATCTTGTATTAAGATAGACACGTCATTATCTACAAAGTTTCTCTATACAGCCGTACGTAAAAGATATTTAACCTACACTTGAAAATTGACCACCTACTACCTACTATCCTTTTAATATTACACAATTTTTATTTTTATATTCATACACTGCATTATGAATTCCACGATTTTTTTCCACAATTCGGTTATCAAGTGAGTACTGGAAGCCAATAACTTAAATAAGCAAAATATTCGAAGTCAACTTGGAATTCACATAAATAGAATTTCAAAATTCCATCGATACCAGTGAAAAATTTATGAAAGGAATTACTGATAATGAAAAGTTTCTTTTCATTTTGCACGCTCAAACAATTGACACCATAAAAACTACCACTTCTAACCTTCCTGGGGAAAGAATAAGTACACCGTTACCTATTTAACTTGCGTGACAAAGTTAAACATGTCACACACCACTGTGTTGTGATACGTTTGCGTTACGTCAGTAGACCATCGTATTACAAAATGTACAAAGAATTGTTACATCCTTACTCTTTACTACCAAAACTAGTAAGCAAGAGTTTCTCCTTCACAAGAAAAACCTCTTCGCAAAGGAAAAGGTTCTACCCGTAAACTGCACCAAAAGGAAAATATATACATCTATAAATCACAAAAACAGAATAAACTGTCAGCTGCATTAACCAGAAGGCATAAACTGAATAAATTTATAGATCTACATTACTGGTAAAGATCTTATGGAAAAATTAATCCATCGGAAATTCTCGATAATTCCAACCATTTGTATTTTTTGTATTCTTCTGCGCCAGAGTTCATATTATAAACGCGAATCAATTCTTTCTCAAGCAGGTAAAACTTTGTTTCAAGCAAATCTTCGAGGAAGAATCCGGAAATTTACGATCTATTATCGACCAATCACAGCAAGAAAGACCAATCTGAACGTTTTGATGTCAGCTGGTCGTTACCAGGACCCACAGCGGTCGAACACACTGCGCGGGCGAAGTTTCCGGCAAATTTGCCGCTTGCGAGAGTCTCAATTTTCTGAACTCCTCGACCTTCTGGTCAAAAGACATTACCGTCAATAAAAAACACATTAAACTTTTTACGCCGCAGATATATAGGAAATTAAACAAATCTTATTTACGTATTTTATCGGCTCGTAACGTTGTTTACTACTGCGCGAACTCTTAAAAATACCAAAGCAAAGAAAACAGGAAATGACGTGAGCTTTATGCGTTTGAACGCAGTAAACATCCTGTACAATTACCACGGCTCGACCACTCCTCTATAGCTACCCAGAGGACTACCCAGAGGACTACCCAGAGTAGTGTTTGGTTTGCTCAAAGATGCCTTGTTTGAAAAATGGCGCGAAGTCACACAGGTCCCGTTTAGTGAGAGGCCGGCCGGTCATCGATGATATGGGACAATCTGGAATTTTAGAGCACAGTCCAATGAATGACTGAAGGTACGTCTGGGAAGATAAAACAAAATTCGTGTTGAGTTGATAGATTAAAAACGATAGCTCCATACGTTTTACTATGCTGTATTTTATTTTAAGAAATAACAAATCAAAAGATCATTAAGGCAATTTGAGCGGGGCTCAAAAAACCATACTGGTAATTAAAGAACCTTAAAATATTTAACATTTATAAAATCTAACTATTCAGGGAAACCCCTGTTATTTTCTCAAAGAAACATTAATTTCTCTCAGTTTTTGTTTTTTACAGTACTGTATAAAGCTTCTTAGACAAACAAAACGATTAACTCAAAAAATCTCTAAAGCTCTATGAGCAAGTTTTTAGCAGCCTACTAGAATGTATTATTATAGAGCGGCTTTCAATTGAGTGTCGAAAGCAATCAGGCAATTACTTTGGTTTTGGTTTTGGTTTTACTACGGTTTGAGATTGGCTGAGTAGTCTAATTGAGAAGTAATTGGTTTGGTTTTGCTGTTACGTCACTCAGTTGAAAACCGTTCTAATTGACTCTAAAGTAAATACGAATTCATATCAGACCTCAAGTTGCGCTCTCCGGGCTCTCACAAACTCTTCTGCCCTGTTACCGAAAAAACGGCGGTTAGGAAAGTCCAAGCTACCAACCTGGAAAACAACGAATGGAAAACTAAGTAAGTCACAAGGAGAAACAAACCAAACCAGTTAAAACAGCAGAAGAAACTTTCACTGTAAACATTAATCTGTAAAACTAGGCCCTGTTTGGTTTAACCGTGTAGCAAAAGATTTTTCATCAGTACTATTATGGTAATCTTGTCGGGAAAACTAACAGAGTGTCAACCTCGTTCCCAGGTTCGTTCATCTTCCTGCCCTCTCTCTCACTCCCGGAAGGGGGGAAGATGACAGAACTGTGTTTAGCATTCTCTGAGAAAGTACTCAAACGTTTCTATTTTTATCTCCAAATTCTCCACGCCAGTAAAAACTAGAGCGAGGTCTCCGTCACCCTGTTAAGCTGAAAAAAACCCTGGATAGGTTATGAAAATTGAAGAAGAAGCAATTTTATCAGCATTACCTCGTAGTAATTCTTTCTCATTGTCTTGTGCAGCTCTCGGAACTTGCGATATCTGCGGTATACTGACCAGGAATCTGCACCAACAGTGCTCTAAAATGGAACAGAAACATCATACACCAACGCTCAATACAAACTTATTAATCACTTAGAAGCAATTTGACGTTTTAACATAGTTCTTTATTTAGTCTAGTAGCCCACTTCCTAATTGTTAAGGCCTCGTCTAACAAGAACAAGGCTTGACGATACTTCAAGTTCTCGCTCCCGTTTAAACGCAAACCCTGAACCACTTTAATCAACTCTTATGCACCCTTACTGAATTCAAACCTGCTTAAATTTTTTTACGTGGAAGAAACGTTTCAAACGTCTGACGCGCTGAACTATCCCTGCAAGAAGCGACCCTCAAAGAAGCGATAAAATTTACGAGTAGTTAGCAAACCCTTCGAAGGTACTGACATCAAACGCAACTTACTTGTTACAGATACAACAAGCTGTATATGTACCAAAACTGATCTGGTATTTCTTTAACATTTTTACAGACAATATGTTAGTCTGTGTTGATGTAGTACGAATTTTTTTCATCACGTTTTATCCTTTTCATTCGTATATATAAAACAGATAATTGAGATTTACTGGCCCATGTAGGCCTCATTAGCTACCTAACCTGTAATCAAATATCAGGCGTTTTCATTTTTCCTCTCACACCGCTGCGAAAAATAACAATGTCTGATCGCTGAATAATACGTTCCCTAACGTAGCGACTCCCGAAAGATAACACTATCAGGAATTAGTATCACCCAACTAGTGGACTAATACAAATCCTGCATTTTGATTGGCTACGCTACTAGAGGACTATTAGTAATAGTCCTCGAGTAGCGAAATTGGCGCAATCGAGCGTGACGCTTTCTGTCGTTTTATTCCCAAATAAATATTTCTTCAACTTGCATTTTCTAACTTTATTATTGCCTTTTCTGTCCGACTAGTTGGGTGATACTAAAACAATTAGACCCTTCGCCCTCAAGGACCACGGGTCAATAGCCCATTCGGCTTCGCCTCATGGGCTATTGACCCGTAGCCCTTGCGGACAACGGGTCTAATTGTTAAGTAGCAATGAAAAGGCCGCTCAATGGGAAAATGAACGGGTCGTTACTTTAGGAACTTACAGCAGTTCAAGACAGGCTGCCATCAACGCACTCACCTTCACCTCGAACACGTGATACGAATCTCGACCCAGGCCTCGTAAGATGTACCGCGGGATGCACACTTGGATTTGGTTTCGTTTGTGAGAACTCACGGACGCAAGGAACCGGTTCACAGGGGTGGGGGGTGGGGTGATGACGGGCGGGGTCACTGAATCGGTCAGGCTTAAATTACTTCCATAGAATTCACTCTGAAGGAAAACAATAACACAATCAATGATGTTATCAACACTTGTGATTTAATACACCATAAACAAAATATTTCAAGTGATTTTTTTTCTTGTGGTACCTCGTCATCTCGACACATGTAGTTCATGACTTCTCCGTCTGCAAGTTCGTCTTCACTGTGACCGTTAGGAACCTAAAGATCGAACAAGATTATGATCACATCACAAAGTCACAAGTTTCTAATGTCCCAACAACAAAAATTGTCGAGAAATACAACACTCCTTACCACAAAAGAGTTATACGTTGACAGCTTCTCTTGAAGTAAAACCACTTCCCTGTTGAAAAACAAGATGATATTTCATACAACAAATGCAATTGCTTGATCTCAATGGAACGAGTTGGCACTGCGAATTTTCATGGTAGTCGAAAAACTATTGCAAGCATAAATTCGCTTATTAGCAAGCATTGCCACCCACTAAAATGCATAAAACCTTAGTTAAGACACAAACTTAAGAATAATTTACAATAGTAAAAGAAAAGAAAGAAAAAATTGCTCTCAAAAGGAAGTCTCGAGGTTAGCCTATGTAGAAGACTCCCTAAAAAAAAGTAGAAAAATGTTAAAATAAATAAATAAATAAATAAATAAATAAATAAATAAATAAATAAATAAATAAATAAATAAATAAATAAATAAATAAATAAATAAATAAATAAATAAATAAATAAATAAATAAATGAAGATTTGTGTGCAATCTAAACAGAAGGCAGGCACTATGCATTGCAGGTTCAATCAGAAAGTGATCTAACCCCCTTGAAACCTTGCCAAAATGTCTCTTCACTTTATTGAAGGCGATCACAACAGGATCACAACAGAATCACAACAATGTTAGTCAGGGTTTCGAAATAGGGCAGCATCCGCTTCCTCTTCAGATTCCACTGTGACCCCCACTCCCCTCTCCCTCATGCTTAGTTTTGTTTTGACCGCACCTCTGACGTGATGAGCATTTACGTTTAACCAATCAGTATTGAGCGCAACAAGCCTCTAATTGAACTTCAATGCATAGTTTTCAGTCAATTTTGTTTATTTTTATTTTCAGTTATTGGGGTCTGTTGTTGAAGTATTGGACTGAGATTTGGTTGAAAGCTATTTTTTAGAAAAGAATCTCCACTTGGACGCGGACAGCAAGTGAAATGTTTATTTTTACCTTTCCGTTTCGTCAAGTCTTTCCCGCAACTCATCAATTTCATGCTGCGCTTTCTCTTTTAAATCCTCTATTTCCATTTCTTTTTCCCGAATAATTCCTTCAATCTCCTCCAGCTTTTCTCTCTCTAACACTTGACGTTCCTTGTCCAACTCGACCTTTTCCCTGTGGATCAGTGCTTCAAGCTCTTCTTTCTGTCTTTCCAGATCTTGTTTTTCCTTGTCTAATTTTGTCAGTATTTCTGCTTTTTCCAGTCTCATCTCCTCGACCTCACGACTCTTGTGTTCCTCCACTTCTTTTAGCTTGACTTCCATTTCTGCTTTGATTCTAAAGAGAGATAAAAATTCGTGAGGGAGGCAACTCTTTAGGCTGTTGTTCGATCGCAAATTGACAGCTACGATGCCAAAAAATAAGCCCTTATCGTTTCAAGCTGTTCTGTTTTTGACAGCTTATGAGCGCTAATATAGGATAAAAAAATTCCTGACGTTACTATCAAAAGCGGGAACTAACTTTACTTTTCATACCGAAATTGCTAAAATAGGATGTCCCTAAAAATAGTAACTTATGGAAGTTGACGTCACTACAAACGACGTGACGAGAACGTAGACATCACGTGACTCAAATCAGTAGAAGTCTCTAGGGATATCCATTTGCACATCCCCCTTGGGTAATTGGACTTGCACGTGATCAGATCGTGCGCCTTCAAGACGAGGTAATGTACGAACTTCTTAACCTCGCATCTACCAAAATGACGTTGAATGAAAATCGGAAATAAAATGCTAATAACGATTCCCCTCCATCAAAGGAAAAGAGTGCGCTTGTTTCTGCTCAACCCTTGATTTTTCCCAAAACAAAGCTTACTTCTTGGGGCAGTCCTTAAATCGCTTTTTCAGCAGTTCTGTTGAGACTGAAGTTTCCTCGCACAACTGTAAAATTCTGAAAGCAAAGACTCCCTGAAAGTAGCGAGCCCTAAAAAG